CCAAATACACAGATCAGGGCTTGAGCAGTACTCTGACAAATGGAAAAAGTAAAACAGCATGAAATGAAAAATTAGCCATAGGTGTAAGCCTGAAAGTACATAATCCCGACATTTCTTATTTGACTTCGTCTACTCAGTTCAACCTTAAAAATCACTTTGCCTCAAACATCAACTTCTTCCAACATTGTTTCAATCTCTGTATGTAGGGTCTCTTCTCTGTTAGTGCTGGGGATGCAAAGAATAAAAAGCCTAGCCCGGCTCACTGGTTGAGTGTTGACCTAGGAACCAGGAGTTCACGGTTCGATTCCCGGTCAGGACACATGCCGGGGTTGCGGGGTCCATCCCCAGTGGGGGGTGTGCAGGAGGCAGCCGATCCATGATCCTCTCTCATCGTTGATGTTTCTTTCTCTCTCTCCCTCTCCTTTCCTCTCTGAAATCAATAAAAATATTTAAAAAAAGACAACCTATTCTTAAGGGACTAAAATTCTAGTTATGACTACAGAGCTATTAAATTCAAAACTATACAATGGCACTTTTGGGGGGGTGGGGTAGGGGGCAATGGGGTATAAAACATTGAAGAGAGGGTAATATCTAGTGTGAAAGTTTTACACCAGCCTAAAAGTGACCAGGTTTCGAAAAATATTTTTAAAAAGTGTTCTTACCTCCAGCTACAAGTCCGGACTCTCCTAACTGAATAGCTACCCCGAAGCCCCCGAGTTTAACAGGTGCCGAGTTTTCCTTTGAAGCGAGGAGAACACAGTGGGGCTGAAAGCAAAACAGACAAAAACACCAGAGATGAGGATTAATTTAACATGAACAATTCAATGTACACAAAACCGAGTAACATGACAATAAACTAATACAGTAAAAACTTCTAGAATTATCTTGGGTGCTTGAATACTTTGTCTTATTCTCACTTCTAGTTGATGTCTCCAAAGACTTACCTGTTCTATCTACTATTTTCCAGGAATTATTTGCTTCCCAGATTAGGGTACGGTGCTAAGGATTACTTAGGATTCTAATCACTGTGCTGTGCACTTGAAGCTAATATAATATTGTATGTCAACTCTAATTAAAAATAAATTAAGCCCGATGGGTGTGGCTCTCAGTGGTTGAGCGTCAACCCAAGAACTAGGAGGTCATGGTTCGATTGCGGTCAAGGGCACAGGCCTGGGTTGTGGGCTTGACCTGAAGTGTGGGGTGTGTAGGAAGCAGCCAATCCATGATTCTCTTTTATCATGGATGTTTCTCTCTCTCTCCCTTTCCCTTCCTCTCTGAAATCAATAAAAAAATATAAAAAATAAATAAAGGAATTACTCAGGAAGCACAGATGCTTAAGGAAGATACATTTTTTGCCTTTTCCATGCAATGTTCTCTTCCTTTGAGTGACAGTCTACATTTGCTTAAGGAAGAAATATCTTTGACACCTTGTGCTCAAATGTTCCCTGAAACCTGGCTTTACTACAGTGTCTGGGCCTTCAGGGGATGCTATGGCCTTTCTCTTCTTCCTTCATTTCACCCCTAAGTAAGAAGAGTCAGATCAAATGACTGCAAGTGAGCCTGGTGCCTAGGGAATTCTCTGCCCTGGCCATGCCCGCCTTTCCTCTGGCCCCGCCCTGCCTCTCTGTGGGAAAGGGAGGTGAGAAACCGGAAGTGGGAGAGGAGACACGAGGCCTGTCTCTAGAGAAGAAACTGGAAAAAGACCTATCGATTATACAATAGTAGCCTATCCATATAAATGCCATGATTTTGATCATTTTACTGTACCGATTAAGAGAATTTCTTCTTTTGAGGAAATATATATAAAGAGGTAGATAAAGAGGTAGATGAGAGCGAGAGGCTGAGAAAGATAAAACAAAAGTGGAAAAATGTTAACATACGGGGAATCTGAGTGAAAGGAGTCTGCAATTCTTTGTACTATCCTACCCTATTGTAAAGTCACTCAAAAGAATTCCTGTGGTTATGCTTTCGATTTGTTACATGGTGAGCTCGATTTGTTTCCATTAGATGCTGACCTAATTTGGTATTTTAATTATGTAAAACATGTGCATAGTTCCAGGTGAAAACTCTAAGCAAATACCATTCCGAGAGGTGTAGCTTTGATCCCTCTCCTCACTTGCAACCTCGCCCTTCTCATGGGTAACTATTGGTATCTAGAGATTTTCAAAAAAATCTTTATTGAAAGTATTACATATGTCCCCTATTTCCCATTGGCCCCAGCTAGCATGGAATTTTGTTTTTTATTTTTTTAATATATATTTTTCGCTCAACCACTGAGCCACACTGGCCAGGCCTTTGTTTTTAAACAGACATTTGTGCGCTGATGGGAGAGATTCGTAGAGAGGAAATACATTTCCAGGAGAGAGAGGGGATGGGACGGGGGTGCACCAGGGGGCGGGGGGCTGGCCCTGGTGGCAGTGAAGGCGGCAGGATGCGGGGCACCTGCGGAGGCAGACAGATGTGGATGTAGAGATGAGGAAGTTCCCTTCTGAGAACTTCTACTTTCCATTTCCTTCAAAATCAGATGCGATCACCGAGTGGGAGTGGGACAGGGCCGGCGGCTGCTGGCAGTTTGTAGAGAGCGGAGGTGTGCAAAGGATTTGCAAAGGACAGGAGCGCGAGGTGACTAAGTTGGTCGCCCTCAAATGGTACCATCAGCATCCCCCAGCCTTGCTGGCTTCCACCCCCCGCAGGTCCTGATTCCTCAGGTCTGAGATGAGGGACACTGATGCTACTGGTCTGGGAGCCATACTTTGAGAAGCACCGGGCCCGGGGAAGACAGCAAGACTGGCAGCAGTGGATTCACCTGAGGTCTGTGGTCATGAATCAGAAGTGAGACCAATCAGTGTGAAATGTGTTTGTACCCCGCAGCCCTCCGCCTGCCTGGCAGGGTTTAGGCCTGGAGGAGGCGGTGAGCTGAACTGAACCGGGGTTGGGATTCAGATAGAGGTATCAGTTCAGAGAGGGCACCAAATAAGCATCTCCATTTATTTCTTTGTGTTCACGTTTATCTTTATATAAATAGAAACCTAAGATGCTGACAAAGGAGGAAAAGGAAGGGTGAGGGGAAGTGGATTTACAAGAATGAGGTAAGGGCCCAGCTGGTGTGACTCAGGGGTTGAGCGTTGATCTATGAACCAGGAGGTCATGGTTCAATTCCAGGTTAGTACGTACGCCTGGGTTGCAGCCTTGATCCCTAGTGGGGCGGGTGGGGGGTTGGGGGGGGGCTGCAGGAGGCAGCCGATCAATGACTCTGTATCATCATGTGCCCTTGACTGGAATCAAACCCGGGACCCTTCAATCTGCAGGCCCATGCTCTAGCCACTGAGCCAAACCAGCTAGGGCTCAATGCTTGTGTTTCAAAAGTCCATATAAGATACAGCTACACAGGTAACTCTAAATCAACTTCTACTCTAGCTTTGCATGGTAGGTCATCAACAAACCTTCTCAAACGCCCTTCCTGGCCTTCTGGTTAGCTACAAAATAAAGGCCACATTATGGACCTTAAAAAAAAGGAAAAGAAAAAAATTGTTCCTCAAGAACCAGCAGCTTTTGTAAACTACCCTTTACATGTCTAAGAATTATCAGAAATTCATCTCAACATTGTCACAGCCCACACATGCTCTAATGAGCTCCAATAACAGTTGGATCATGAGAAAGAGCCTTCTTAAATGTAAAAACTTGAAATCTTGAATCAGCCATAGTGACTAGCATTTAATTATACTCATTAAATATGACTTTGCTAAAATTACACATTTCAGGATGTAAAATGCATCGACAGAAAATTAACTTCCAAAAACTGTGTGATGAGATGTAACAGGTGTTCTTTACTCATCTATCTTTACCTCCACTATTATGCTTTATACTAAAACGTTTTAAAGGGGAAAAAAGTCTGAAAGAGAAAAAGCCCATTTCTAATGAGAACTTATACAGCTTCTTTATTTTGAGGGACGAGGGAAAACCTCATCGAAAAGACAGACATAATTCCCTAAAGTTCAGTGTCCGCTGAGACGAAAGCTGAGGGTTGTCATACTGAAAAAAGAAAGAAAAAGGAAAAAAAAAAAAGCCGATTACCACATGCAGACAGGAAAAAAAAAAAAAAGCAGAAAGCCCTAACCCACGGCCCCACCGGATGCAGGAGCCCAGCTGACACACTGACTGTCTAGGGAAGTGCGGGGCTCAGTGCCTTCCACTCCGGAGCCTGAGCTGTGAGTACCCCTTGATTTCTACTACTCAGACGATCCTTTCTTCTAGTTAGAAGCGGAGAGATCTGAATACGAAAAGTGAGGCCTGCTTTCAGAATGATGTCTCGGCTGATCTGACTGGTCTGAGTGAGGAGCTGCAGTGGGTTTCTTTCCAGTGTATTGTGATTTTTTATGATTTCCAATTACGCATGATCTTTCACTGACTGCCTTTATTAAGTTCTGCTGTCTGCCTAGTCTCGATGATAGCATTTTCTTTACTGTGCTGTTACTATTTTATGGTAATGACCAGATGTACTGCAGTTTAACTTTTGGGCTTCAGAAGTAAATAAGGGGACTATTAGAGAAAAGCGAAAGCAAAATGCTCTTTAGTTAATTCAGCTAAAGTTGAAAAAATGGTTTTCTTAGACATAGTTAAGTTTATAACAAAACCTAATATGCTACTAATAGTATTTTTTTTAAAAATCCTCACCTGGGATATTTAAATATATATATATATACTTTATTAATTTTTTTACAGAGAGGAAGGGAGAGGGATAGAGAGTTAGAAACATCGATGAGAGAGAAACATCCATCAGCTGCCTCCTGCACACCCCCCACTGGGGATGTGCCCGCAACCAAGGTACATGCCCTTGGCCGGAATCGAACCTGGGACCCTTCAGTCCGCAGGCCGACGCTCTATCCACTGAGCCAAACCGGTCAGGGCTAAATCCTCCCCGAGGATATTTTTCCATTGATTTTAGAGAGGCAGGGAGAGGGAGAGACAGAGAGAAACATCGATCTGAGAGAGACATAATGATTGGTTGCCTCCTGCACACACCCCAACCAGGGCTGGGGAACTTGCAACTGAGGTACGTGCCCTTGACCGGAATCGAACCTGGGACCCTTCAGCCCTTCTGCCGATGCTCTAGCCACTGAGCCACACTGGCCCGGGCTACCAATGGTATTATTTCCAGAGTAACATGCTTTCCATTTCTGTTCTGCACGCAGCAATGAATGCAGCTTCTGAAGCATGGCCTGAATGACAGTCTCTCTCATGATGCAGTGAAGCCACAAGCGGTGTTAGGTCGCTGCTGCCACCAAACAGGTATGTCCGGTAACACAGCCATGCGCCGTTCTCGCCGGCACCCAGACTGCATTTCAAAACTTGCTCATTCGAGGCCACAGAGGCATGTGCTGGGTTCATGAAGCTCCTACAGGAACTGGCAAAGGCCGGGTGGCGATGGGCAGAAAACCACTGCGCCCCCTGCAATATGGCACACGGGCCACCGGAGCAGCAGCGGCCATTTCCCGCCTTCACTGGCCATTCTCAACAAACCAAACACACGCTTCGCAAAACAGCAACCATGGCCTTAAACACAGAGTGTGGTTACTTAGCGGATGTAACTCGACTGACATTGGAAAGGAGGCGAAAAACAGCCACGGAATTTCAAACAGTATTTAGTCAGTTAATTTGTAAATAAATGACTGGACACTAGCCGCCGACTATACGCTTCTAAGTGATGGCTACTATTACTAGTTAAACGGACGCATTGCTTTGCTTTATTTTATTTAAGCTTGAAAATAAAGCTGATCAGAGGTTTATGCACCTCGGTTGTAGGTTCCCCAGCCCTGGTCGAGGGTGTGTGCAGGAGGCAACCCATCATGTGTCTCTCTCACATCGATGTTTCTCTCTCCCTCTCCCTCGCCCTTCCTCTCTAAAATCAATGGAAAAATATCCTCGGGTGAGGATTCAGCCCTAACCGGTTTGGCTCAGTGGATAGACCATTGGCCTGCGGACTGAAGGGTCCCAGGTTCGATTCCGGTCAAAGAGAGGTTTATTGGGGGTCTTGTCCAACTATCATTTATTTTATTTGCAGGTTAGAGCTGAGGCAAATAGTTTCGGGATCTGTGTTGTGTGCTAGCAGCTTTCTAGAAACATCTTAAGGCTCTCAGGCCTAGAAATAAGTTGGCAAAGATATGTTCTGGGGGAAGTGCCGAGCATTCTGACGAATGATTTGTGATTCTGTAAACTCTGTACTTATTACCAGCTGTAACGGACATAGCAAATAGGAAGATGAATACCTTTTCTAGAGAAGTAAAGCTATGCGGCATAATCTCTTCTTAGAACTATGGATAATGTGAAAGGAATCGTGTCAAAATACTGCTGACTGAACTCATCACTGACAAGGAAAAGGCTGGCCCTGGCCGGTGTGGCTCAGTGGATAGAGTGCCGGTCTGCGGACTGAAGGGTCCCAGGTTTGATTCCGGGCAAGGGTACATGCCCGGGTTGTGGGCTCAATCCCTGGCCCCAGTCAAAATGCATGCTGGAACATATCAATGTTCCTCTCTCTCATCTCTCTCATCTCTCTCTCTCTCTCTCTCTCTCTCTCTCTCTCTCTCTCCCTCCCTCCCCCTTCTAAAAACCAATGGAGAAATATCGTTGGGCGAGGTTTAACAACAACAAAAATGCTGACCATATGTACTTAGGAGGAGAGAGGCTTGGTGCAAAGGATCATGGGCATCTGAGTCCCAACTTGGGCGCTGCCACTTCAGATGTGGGTGGTCCAGGGTGAGGATCATGACCTCTGGACCTTTCATGACCTCTTTTGTAAAACCTACCTCGCATGGCTTCCCTAAGGATTACGTAAATGAAATATCCTGATCGTGTGGAACGCGCTGCCTGGAACATAGCAGATGCTAAATAAATATTAGGTAGCGGCTCAGCTATCTGGCCCCAGGGCTCAATTCTGCATGCGCCTTAGGATCCCCCGAGGAGCTTTTAAAGGAAACCAGGGCCCGGAGCCCATTCCAGACCAATTAGATCAGGTCTGCGGGGGGAGCCAGGGTGGCCTGGTCCCGCGCTCACATCCCCGGGGACAGGCGCCTGTGGCCTTCAACTCGCTCTGATATGACTGGGCTCCTCCCCATCGCTGGGCCCTTTCCAGGGTGAGCTGCTGCAGGTGCCAGTCTGCCTTGTGGGTGGAAGCCTACCAGCTCGAGACAGGACCAGACGAGCAGTAACCATCTTCACTTACGACACCACCCGATCACCCTGGCCGGTGTGGCTCAGTGGATAGAGTGTTGGCCGGCGGACTGAAGGGTCCTGGGTTGGGTTCCAGGCGAGGGCACGTGGCCCGGTTGCAGGCTCTGGTTGGAGCCCCCGTGGGAGGCAACCGATCAATGTGTCTCTCTTTGCTGTTTCTCTCTGTCTCTCCCCTTCCTTCCTACTCTCTCTAAAAATGAATGGAAAAATATCCCCGGGTGAGGGTTAACAAAACAATAATAAAAAAAGGCCCCCCCCTGCCCAGACGTAGGAATTCAGCCTAAGGGGTGCGTGTTTGTTGCTGCCACATCACACTGCTGCTATGGCAACTGGAGCCGATTGTAATTGTGCAGCTGTGTTTCTGTTAAGTCAGCTAGAGCCCTTCCTATACTGGAACAGTTGACTTTAATATCCACAAGGAGCCCTTTACATAGTTTTATACCAAAATCCCCTCTTTCATTCAACAGTCTTTATTGTACCAAGCACTTGGTACATAGCGGCAAACAAAGTAGACTTGGTCCCTCGCTGCATGGAGTGTAAGGTGTGGCCTGGGAGGAGGAAAAAACGATTGTTTTAAAAGTCACTGCAGCTCCCTCTGTCGGCATCCCCCTCCTGGCTAGACGGCACCATCAGCTGCACACTTGGCAGCCTGCCCGCCTTCCTCGATGGCCCTTCCCTTCTAGAATTTCCTAACACAAAAGCACGCTGGGAGCTTCTGTCCACTTGATGAAATTTGCCTCCCTCCCTCCACTGCTCTGAACTCCGGAAAAAGACCCTAACCGAGGCTGGACAGCTTCCTCTTCGCCAGTTCCCCTTCCACGGAAGATAAGTGTACCCTCCACCCTCCAGCAAAATGGTTTCTTCTTGAGCAGATCGGCGCTTGAGTTAAGAGAGGCTGAGTTCTCCCAAATATTGTTCTTTGTAGAAGATGCCAAAGCAGGAAATTGCTGTCATTCCAAATCCACGTGTCTTTTTTTTTTTTTAAAGAAGTGCAAGTGATGCTCCACCAAGGCAGTCACCTGGCTGGCTACCCCCCCTCCCCCCCGGCACTCTTTCTTTCTTTTAAAAAATATTTTATTCATTTCAGAGAGGAAGGGAGAGGGTGAGAGAGAGAGAGAAACATCAATGATGAGAGAGAAGCATGGATGGGCTGCCTCCTGCATGCTGCCTACTGGGGATGGAGCCCACAACCTGGGCCTGTGCCCTGACCGGGAATGGAACCCTGACCTCCTGGTTCATAGGTCAATGTTGAACCACTGAGCCACACTGGCCGGGTGTGATTGTACTATATCTTTGCTGCTTGTTTTTGACACCATAATGCTGCTCCATACATAGAATACATACTCACATGGTCTAAGGCTCTAAAGTAGGAGAAAAGTAAATTTTGCCGTGTCTAAAAAAAGTCACTTATTATTTATGCTTGCAGTTAAAGCAACGTCTTCAAACAGCAAATGAATCAATGCCTGACCTTCTGTTGTAGGAAGCATCTGAAGCCCTTACGGAAGCCACCCGCGAGGACCATGTCCTTCGGGACCTCCGCCTTTTGATCCCCCCAGAAGACGACGCGACATCACCCGTGACCATGACGCCGGCCACTTCGGCCAGCAGCTGGCCTTCCTCTCCCCAGGGAGCCTGCTTCCTGACCAACCACAGCGCCCCGTCGCCACGCAACTTCTCGGGGGCCCCGAATTCCACCGACTGCCCCATGGACGAGCACCTGCTGTCGCGAGCGCTCGCCGCCTTCTACTCGGTCATCTTCCTCGTGGGGCTGGTGGGGAACATCATCGCCCTCTATGTGTTCTTGGGGATCCACCGCAAACGGAATTCCATTCAGATCTACCTCCTGAACGTGGCCGTGGCGGACCTCCTGCTCATCTTCTGCCTCCCCTTCCGCATCCTGTACCACCTGAACCACAACAGGTGGGCGCTGGGCGTGGTCCTCTGCAAGGTGGTGGGCACGCTCTTCTACATGAACATGTACATCAGCATCATCCTGCTCGGCTTCATCAGCCTGGATCGCTACGTCAAGATCAACCGGTCCGTGCAGCAGCGCAAGGCCGTGACGACCAGGCAGAGCATTTACGTCTGCTGTGTAGTCTGGGCCGTGGCGCTGGCTGGGTTCCTCACTATGATTATTTTAACCCTGCAGAGCGGAGGACACAATACCACCATGTGCTTCCATTACAGAGACAAGCGGAAGGAGAAAGGCGAAGCCATTTTCAATTTGGTGCTGGTGGTCATGTTCTGGCTGATTTTCCTCCTGATCATCCTGTCCTACCTGAAGATCGGCAAGAACCTACTGAAGATTTCCAAGAGGCGGTCCAAGTTTCCCAATTCGGGCAAATACGCCACGACGGCCCGGAATTCCTTCATCGTGCTGATCATTTTCACCGTCTGTTTCGTGCCCTTTCACGCCTTCCGGTTTGTGTACGTTTCCGTGCAGCTCAACGTGTCCTCGTGTTACTGGAAGGAGATCGTGCACAAGACCAACGAGATCATGCTGGTCTTCTCGTCTTTCAACAGCTGCCTGGACCCCGTCATGTACTTCCTGATGTCCAGTAACATCCGCAAAATAATGTGCCAGCTTCTTTCTAGAAGGTTCCAAGGGGACTCGAGCAGGAGTGAAAGCACGTCGGAGTTCAAGCCAGGGTACTCCCTCCACGAGACGTCCGCCGCGGCGAAGATTCAGACCGGTTTCTGAGGCATGTTTGGGCAGCACGTTCAAAAGCCTCTTCATTCCCTGAAGCACGAACGTTTTCCAGGACGAAACGCGAGCATTTACAAGGCCCGGATCTCCCCAGAGCTCTTTTCTTATGGGCGATGTTTCGTTTGCTTAATTGTAAAATATTTCAAGGAAAAGAAAAGCGTACGCTTATCACTAGGTTTTAAGTCTGTGTGTAAATCTGTTCAAAATGTATTGTTCAGCTAACACTCTTCAAAAGTTTTAAATTTTCTTTCATTTTCAAAAAATCCTCACCTGAGGATATCCCCTCTCCCACTGACTTTTTAGAGAGAGTAGAGTGGAGAGAGAGAGAGAGAGAGAGAGAAACATCTATTGGTTGCTTCCCTCATGCGTCTGGGGTTGAACTTGCAACTGAGGTGCATGCCCTTAACCTGAATCTAACCTGTGACCCTTTGGTCTGTGGGCCGAAACTCTAACCACTGAGCAAACCGGCCAGGTATAAGCTAACTAACACTCTTAACAAAGATTATAAAGTTAAGTGACATGTATGGCTTCAACAACAGGCTGATTAAAGGAAATGCCATAGTTTCTCAAGTCACTAAAGTAGTTACTCAAAAGTAAGCACCTATTACTAATTTAAAGTGTGTTTAAAAGTAAGTTAAATGATTTGAGGACTGATTTAAAATGTCAGAAAATACATGTTGATTGTCACTTTAAAAGCTTGTAATTTGCCTCTGTATTAATTGATGCCTAAACCTTTATAAGAGATGAATTGATGATAAACTTCTAATAAAACATGGAATCCCCCAGTATCTCTCGCTGCCTACATAAAATGGAAAGAATTTAAGTATCACACGGTACTAGTAAAATCAAACAACAGCTGAGCTAAGAATGCAATCGCCTAGCAACAGGGCTTGAAACTTAGCCACCTCGAACCACACTTTCATAGAGTAAAATGGAAGATGTGCTCACCCTGTATATCCGCCGGAACCTCAAACACACATGTGATAAAACATACGTAATGCTGCTCAGGGAACTAAACGATTGGAAACAAGCTGAGTGAGTATGTGCCTTATGCACAAAATGAAATGAACTCCATCTGCATCAGCACAATTCACAAAAGCAACATTGAATGATAAACAAACTGCAAAAGGGCATGGAACACATGAAAGCAGGTATGTAAAATACAAACACATGAAACGGTACCATATTCTTTAAAAAAAATATATTCTTATTGATTTCATAGAGGAAGGGAGCGGGAAAGAGAGTAACATCCATGAGGAGAGAGAATCATGGATCGGCCGCTTCCTGCACGCCCCACACTGGGGATGGAGCCTGCAACCCGGGCCTGTGCCCTTGACCAGGAATCGAACCGTGACCTCCTGGCTCACAGGTCGACGCTCAATCACTGAGCCACACTGGCCAGGTTTTAAAAAAATATTTTTATGAATCTATAAATACACAATAAAAATAAAAAACAGACATGGTAATGTACACAATATGTACACTAACTGCGAGTTAATGGTTATATTTGGAGAGAATTAAAGCACACATGGCAACGTGTTAATGTCTGTTAAACCTGTGTGGTAGTATACGAGTATTTTATATTATTTTTGGTATATTTCTAAGTGTTTGAAATAGTTCATAATAATAAAGAACTCTGTAGATCAGAATTAAAAGGGGCAAATTCTGAAATTTTCCTGGATGTTCAAGAATACTACAGACACTGGGGCGGTGGGGGCTTGCTCTCGGGGGTGGCGATGGCTGGGAGGGGTGGTCAATTGGAGAAAAAGGAGATATGTAAAACTTTAGACAATTAAAAAAAAGAATAGGCCAATACAGAATGTCATTTACAAAACAAAAATATTTGAGAAAAAAATTTATAGAAAAATTAGATGCTCAGAAAAAAGTAACATTTCTATTAGTTCCCTTGCTTTGACAATGTTAACAAATACCAACCTAAACTGAAATTTAGCATTTCTGTTTATATGATTTTAAATACTGCTTTCCCCTCATGTTCTCAAAATTATTATTTTTTTATATTAGTGGTAAAGATTTTATATGCTTACATGAATATTGTAAACATATAGTTTGAATGGTTAAATTATAATGTCTATTATTACCACTAGTTTTATGAAATATTAAAACAAATACACTCATAGTTCTAGAAGCTGTCTCCAGATTTGACTAAGTGAGATGATCTCTGTAAAGCCCTGCAAATGGCATTCTTAAAAAAATTAAAAACTACAGAGTTAATTCTTGCTACATTTGTAGGACGATAAATTTTCATAAAAATCAACTTGCCTATAAGCTCATTTCAAATCTTGTTTACCAGTAGAAGTTTCACGAATAACCTAAATCCTGAGAATGTTTCTAAATTTTTAGAAAAGGAAAAAAACCCATGCCACTTACCAAATTTAAGGCTATTTATTAGATATAATTTTTTATTTCGTACTTCACCACTAGTGTATACAAGCAGGAGACACTGTCCCTACCTCCCCCGACCCAAGGTTTAGCTCTAGAAGCATATAGAAAAAGGAAATTCAGAAGTGCTGTACCCTCACCTTACAAAAGGTCTCCAGACAAAGTTTCTAAATAACATCTCATATGCAAAACCAAACAAGGCAGATTTAACTGCCTGGCTGCTGGAGCGAGACAGAAATGCTGAGTGCTGCTGTGTGTTTTGAGACAATGTGGGCAGAGCTGGTTTGATGGTGGTTGACTTGCTAAGATCAGGTTCCTAGAAAAAGGAAATTCTATTCTAGTACAAAAGGTCTTATTTTCAACATCTTTTGGAAATGAAGTTTTCAATCCTGCTGATGTAAAAGTAGAACTAATATGATTACAACTATTTGAAGCAATGCCCTACGGAAAGTTATCCATAAGAGAAAAACAGCATGAAACCGAGTTCTCCAACAGGCAACCTGGATTTTGCAGAAACATGTTCATGGGCAAATTATTTTTTAACCTTTTGAAATACAAATGGAAACCTATTTTCCCAGATATTAAAATACATCCTTCCCCTTTAATAGGGAGAACACTGCGGAACAGATGCAAAGAGAAACTTTTCATGAAACAATACACGTCTCCAAGCGGACCTTCAATGAGACACGAGAAGACTATTTGACCAACTGATGCTCTCAAAAGGGTTGGAGCAGGAACAACTCAGAGGGAAGCTAGGACTCTGTTAGTCACACTGTGCTGGAATCTTGCAAAGTGGGGTTAAGTGAATTTGAAAAAAAGGTTCCTGAGTGACTCTGACACACTTTCCTCCCTCAGAGAACCACTGGAAGGAAAGGAGACACCAAAGGATTAGAAAACTGTGGCACATCTACACAATGGAATACTATGCGGCTGTAAAAAAGAAGGAACTCTTACCATTTGCAACGGCATGGATGGAACTGGAGAGCATTAAATAAGCCAGTCAATGAAGGAAAAATACCACATGATCTCACTCATTCATGGATAATAGAGACCATTATAAACTTTTGAACAATAATAGATACAGAGGCAGAGCTGCCTCAAACAGATTGTCAAACTGCGGCTAGGGGACTGTCTAGGGCAGGGGGAAAAAATGGACACATATGTAATACCCTTTGTAATACTTTAAGCAATAAAAAAAAAGAAAAAAAATCAGGAAAGGGAAGGATGGATTAATAAATAGTGGTGCCCTTATCCTATATAATAAAAGGCTAATATGCAAATTGACCAAACGGTAGAATGACGGGTCACTATGACGCGCACTGACCATCAGGGGGCAGATGCTCAATGCAGGAGCTGCTCCCTGGTGGTCAGTGTGCTCCCATAGAGGGTGCGCCACTCAGCCAGAAGCTGAGCTCATGGCAGGCCACCACTGGAGGCGGGCAGTAAGGAGCGAGGGGTCCCGGACTGCAAGAGCCCCGGACTGTGAGAGAGATGTCTGATTGCCAGTTTAGGCCCGATCCCCAAGGGTCCCAGACTGTGAGAGGGCACAGGCTGGGGTAAGGGTGCGCGAATTTCTTGCACCAGGCCTCTAGTTTAAAATAAAAAGCCAAGTCATAGCCTCACCTAGTTACACACACACACACACACACACACACACACACAGTAAGTGGATTAAAGAGTTACATGAAAATATTAATAGATTTAAAAATATGTGACTAACTCATTAGTATGTGACTAACTCATTTGTGGATGGGAAAGAACTTTCTATTGATAAGACAATAGAAAGAACCATAGGAAAAAAACGCATAGATTTGACTAAAAAGTAGACTTTTGGGGGGGTTAAAAACCATAAAAATAAAAGCAAAAGCACAAAGTGGGGAAAAGTTCATCTGACATTGATGGAGAGCCTTTTGTGTCCGGTGCCAGTACACACCGTGAACTTGTAAAGAAACCCATATTATTATTTTTTAAATATATATTTTATTGATTTTTTTACAGAGAGGAAGGGAGAGGGATAGAGAGTTAGAAACATCAATGAGAGAGAGACATCGATCAGCTGCCTCCTGCACATCTCCCACTGGGGATGTGCTCGCAACCCAGGTACATGCCCTTGGCCAGAATCGAACCTGGGACCTTTCAGTCCGCAGGCCGACGCTCTATCCACTGAGCCAAACCGGTTTCGGCAGAAACCCATATTTTTGATAAAAAGAAAGCACTGGCAGCTCAGAATGTAACCTGAACTCTGCCAGGTCCGATGAGGCAGACACATTCTCACCGGCAGCTGCAGTGCCTGCATTCACAGCTGCACGCCCAGGTGAGGACACGGGCCGCGAGGGCCGCCGCAGCGCCCGGGCGCGGACTGGCTTCGGATGGAGGAGGAGGGTGGCTGGGTGCTGGGAACAGCTGACCCAGAATCGGAAGGGAAGTAAGTGCTGCTGGGTTCGTCCTAAACGTCTATTTTGCTTCTTATTTCCCCTCTTCAAGTTCACATGAGAGGACGGGGAAGCAAAGGATAGTTATTTGTGGGCCCTTTGCTGGGCAAGGTGCTTGAGATGCACTATGATCACTGAATCATCCCTGGACGGGGGTGTGCATAGCAATGGTATTTCCCACGAGGGATGTGAGTTGATAAATTTCTATTCCCTGGACACCGTGTCTTCTGAGACAATGCTTTTCATTTTCACTTCATCCTGCCCTAACACAATGGTAATGACCGAGGTGTCGCTTTTTATTTTATTTAAAAATATATTTTTATTGATGTCAGAGAGGAAGGGAGAGGGAGAGAGAGGAACATCAGTGATGAGAGAGAATCACGGATCGGCTGCCT